CAGGATGATTAGAATTAAATTTTGTACCATTAGTAACATCTTCAAAAGAATTATTATTCTTATTTTCAACAACCATTATTGCTATGACGTTTAGAGAAATGATTTGTAATTATTTCATTTAGTTGGATCTTTCAATATATTTATAAACAGCTTCAAACTTTCACTTAAATTGCAACAGAAATATTTATACATGGTACAATAGAAATATCTCCCAGAAACGCTTCCCACATAATAGTAAGACATTAGTGACAATTGTATCTTCATCTAGCTTATGTCTTACCATTATATGGAAGATATTTCTGGGAAGTATATGCACAAGGTATTTCTGCTTCACCATGTATTATCTTGGATTTTTATTAAACAATGCCTTATCAGCTATTATTAAATTTTTTATCAGTATTTCTTTCATCTTAATTTTACTTGCTTCTCATTGCATGTCTTCTGTCTGTCAGTCTATAGTCATTAGTAGTAATACAGGATGTGGCAAAAATACCTCCCAAATAATAGTAAAACATTAATGTCAATGGTGTCTTCATTGAGCTAATGTATTACCATTATGTGTGTGTGTGGGGGGGGTTGCATCTTCTTTAGAACCAAAATCATATTAAGATTTAAATAAGGTTTCACATTTAAATAAGATTTCAATACAAAAATCAATATATTCAAGATTTTTGCCTTGTTAAATTTTAAAATATATTTTTTTTATAAACTTAAACCAATATAAAAGTTATGAAGAATTTAATATTGAACAGAACCAATACATTTGTAATACATTTAACACAATCAAAAAATACGTAAATATATATATCAATATTAAAATCAAAATAATTAAAATTCGAACAACAAGAATAATGCCCAATTAACAATAAATTCAAATCCCATAATCTCTTTCATAAAGAAAATAAATATTTTTAAATGAAGAATTCAGAATATTTATCATTAATCTCATTTGATTATGAAGTTATGACTTAAGTCTTCCATTTGGAAGCTTTATAAAAGATTACAAGTTTGGTCATAATTTTTATTTCCCAATTACCATTTTATGTATTTTATTCTATACATCCACATATTTCCAAGGGATTTTAGGGATTTTTATTTCTATGGGATTTATTTTTAAGGGATTTTAGGAATTTTTATTTCTAAGTGATTAAGGGATTTTTATTTATAATCTGACATCATTCCCTATTACTGTACATATTATATGTAGTTGCCACTAGTGGCGGACTGGGTCTAAATACAAAGTACAATTAAAATTTTAGTAAAAAAAAAAAAAAAAAAAAAAAAAAATTAATTTCTTAATACAGTGGTTCTCAAACTATTTTGCCCAATGCACCCTTTTCACCATGAGAGGAGACAGAATGTCATCCAACCCCACCATTCCCAAGATTGTCCAACTCAAAAGTTGCATTCCGAATAATATGCATATATTATTGAAAATCTCCATACTTTTCCAGATTTGTACAGTTACATGGATTATTTTTATAGAAGAGTTTTACAAATTTAATAGCAAAAGATAATGTTGTTGGATTTTTAAACTTGAATACATGTGCAGTAACATGTTTTAATTCATAACTAATTATTAAAGAAACTGAAGCATACTTCAATAAACAAAAATTCAATAGAATGTTCGGGTATTGTAATTCAATAAAGAAAATTCTGTAAATAAAAAATAAGAAAAAAAAGATTATTCCCATACCCCCTAATTCTCCATAGTGGGGGATTCAAACCTGATTGAGAACTCCCTTTTTATTTTTTTTTTTTTTTAATTTCTATTAATTACAATGTACATGTACTATACTCATGAGTGGCGGTAAATACAGAATGTTATTTCATTTATTTTTTTTTTTTTTTAATTGTAAGTAATTGGTTGGTATTTTATTGCACATTTTATACATTAACAGAATTTAAATGCACAATAGAGCATTTCATGCAGTACACTATATTAAGAGTAATTGTTTGTGTTCATTAGATGCTACTGCATCCAATTCATCTGACAATTCCTTTTCAATGGAATACAAAATGTATGATTCCAAATTCTCAGGCAGCAAATTTCATAACCTTGTCTTTATGATCTTTAACTTTGAAAAATTCCTCTCACATTGGACTTGAGTAATTGATAGTGTGCAGGTGATTTTATAAAGTTCTTATTCCTTTTTATTACTAAAACAGTCATCTGTGTCCATTATAAGTATGAAATTTCTAGTCACTGGTATGTAATATAATCAGCAAAACAAGATAACCATAAACCTCACTTATAAAAAGAACAGGTTTTATTTTACGTCAAACAATACACAAATATACGCACATCTTCTCCTAATGTGGAAATAATGACTGACGGACTTACCCAAATGGTGGAGCAGAGGAAAACTGGTTTCTCAGAGATCTGGTCTTATGGCTGCTGTCACAGATTGAGTATGGAGTGAAAACACCACGTGTGTGTCGCTCGGTGAGGTTTGCTGAAAAGAGGGTGCTTCTCCATGTGCTACACTTTTTGTATGAGCCACCTGTGGCAGGATCGACCAATGGGAGAACTCCCCGATGTCATGTGATCTATCTCTCCATGCATGGGTAAAGACACAGCTATTTACTGCCCCAAAACCATCTTATTTATTGCATTTTTATTTGATACGGGCGGGGGGCACTTGCCATCAGGCAAACTGACACTCTGGCCAGTCTACCACAGGATATTTGAGTAGACATCCATTTTTTCTTAATTTTTTTTTTTTTATAATTGTTATAGAAATTTCAAAATTGCCACTTGTTTCAGTTAGAATTTGTCTTTGGAGTCAAAGCAAATTCTCTACAGATTCTTTTAATAATCACTGACAATGTTTTATTAAAAGATTTAGGAAAACGGACAAAATTGTGAGCAGGTCAAACAAATCTGCCAATACATAACAAAAAAGAAAAAATATTTATTTTAAAACCAATAAAAACAAACTAATCAGTTCATGTGCTCAGTGATCAATAGAATTTGTAGCACCCAACAATGATAGATTGTAGAAATAAAGAAAGAAATAACATAACAAAAGTCAAAAATCCACAGCCCGAAGTGTTTTACATTTTCATGTTTAGTGCAGAAGCGCACACGCACACACACACAAATCCTCAAGCAACTATTAACAAGGGGAAGTAACCGGGATCAGCCAATTGATACAAAATTCTGATTAATTTCAAGATAAAATATTTTACCATAGTGATAAACATCTCAACAATTTTTAACAACTGTTAGTGATGAATTTGTTAATGTATCTGAATATTAAAAATTTCATAGAAAGTCAACTGTAATGGAGACGATCCCTATTGTAATGGAGACAGTCCCTATTAATAGACATTTGTCTTGTAATGGATACTGTCTATAGAAATTTTGGAATTTCCTGATTACTAATTCCAAATTCAGACGAATTAAATAGAAATTACCATTATAAAAATTTATCAAAAATGTCTACGAAGTCTGAAGACATTTGATCAGTTCAATTCTTTGATATATTTATATATTGCAACATTCAAAAACTTGACTGCAAATTACAACTATTATTTTTATGCTAAATAGTTGTAACCTTTAAAGAGCATTGCAGAAAGTTTACACTTTAGGCCAGCAAGTGGATTCCAGCCTTTGGGTTTGGGAACAAACACTGATCATCAGGATGGAGAACAAATGCAGACTTTAGACCCACTAACTTTACACCAATGGGAGGAGGAAACAGTCACTAACTATAGATGGTTAGTAAGCTTGTCTCACTAGAACAGTTATGATTGAGTAGCAAGTTCGATCCTCACTGGGTGCCACGTACTTTCGGCTTTGTGCCATATCTAAGACACACTAAGAAAATCACCAGAGACCATCAGGGTGTGGAATGGTGGAACAGTCACAAAACTTTAGACCCTCACAAGGTGTCAGGTTGGAATACCAACTAACCTCAGACCTTCAGGATGTGGGGGGGAAGACTGTTGTTGGCTTGAGACCAATGGGTGTGGGGAAGGAACTTTATACTTTTGAGGAACTTTACCAAAACAATATAAATTCAACATCACTTAAACTTATATTTTAAAAATACTTTGTATAACTGAAAAGTAGACATAATTTTTTTTTTTTTTTTAATATGCAGAATAGAATGAAATGTTTTTCATACATCAGTGTAGCCAGTGTTTAGATATAAATTTTAAATCCAAGCAAAAATGTCTTAACAGCAACACCCTATACTTTCCCAGGTTTTAAGATATTAATAACTAATTTGGTCATATATATATATATATATATATATATATATATATATATATATGAATGAAAAACATCTAAAATTTATATTTAACTAGAAATGAAAAATTTTTTTTTTTTTTTTAAATATTTAGGATCATTGAAGTGCTAAACAAATTTTTTTTTTTTAATAAATTCCACCCTCCTCCAGTTATCAATACAAATTTACCTATTTTTTTTAAGAATATAACAAGTAAATACAAAATATCAAACAATTTCCATTAACTGAAACTAAATTTAAGAAATTCAAAATATTTTAATTTTTTTTTTTTTTTTTTAAATTCTACAAGTAAAATTTTATATTAAAATAAATGGCTATATAATTTCTGATTAGTCATTATGTGACCTTAAAAAAAAAAAAAAAAAATAAAAGAAAGATTTTTATATTCATTCTGTATAAGAAGCAAACTTACCACATATGATCGATAAATTTTTTTTGGATGCTAAAAGCTGGGCTCATGCAGAAAATGTGAGACGAGTGAAATGAAAAAAAAAAAAAAAAAAAAAATGGGGCAGCAGACGTTGGCACTGAATGATTCTAAAGCATGAACAATGGTTTTAAAAAAGGGGGAATATTTTGATGCTTGTTCACGATGACGGAAAAATGACGAAACAAATGAACAAAAGAATTAAGAGAAAAAATTTAAATTTTTTTTGAAAATTTTGGAAATATATGAAAGAATCTGTAACAAGTGCGAAGAATCTCATGCATGTCCAGAAATCCTGACTAGAATGTACTTACATGTGAATAAAAGCAGGCAGTCTGTGATAATCAAGGAGAAAAAAGAATCGGTAAAAAAAAAAAAAAGAAGAAGCATTAAGACACACATCACCAGAGTTAATATCTGTAACTAAGTTTTCTGAATTTTGTTGCTTTTGTTTGACTAATTCTACTAAATCTTGAATTTCACTATTTGAGCCTTTTGAGGGTTTACTTTTGAAAATAAACTAACTTACTTTATTAATATGAAAAAAAAAAGTCAATTCAAAATTAAGTAATACTAAGCTATCTAAAAAGCAGATGAATCAGCTAAATGATAGCTCATTGTGGCAATCTTGTTTACATCAAATGGTAAAAGTATATGGGGGGCTTACATAGGGGGTATGTTTTAAATCTACTTTGTAATAAGAGTATATTTTAGGGAGCTTGCATAGGGAGATCATTTTACAACAAATTCACACAGGAAACTTAACTGCCCTCTTAAAATTTACAAAATTAATATTTTTTTTATATTTGTGATTTGGAGTGTATAATCAATAGTAATATAAAAACAAATTTTTAAAAATGATAATTTTTTTTATAGCAGTTTATTTCTGTAGAATGCCTTTATCTTTGAGTCCAATTTGACAGAATTGGCAACCCTAGTAGCACTCCCCATAACCAACCACACAATCTCATCAAATGATGACAATATCAATACTTTAAATGTACACAGCAGGAGAGGTCTTTATAATGGATCTCTAGAATTGGATTGATTAATCTGTTTTTTATGGTTTATCAACTTTTTGCAGTTTATTTAAAGCCAGGAAATATTTTTAGATTGTAAGAAGTTTTGGGAGATAATAATTTACTGATACAAATCCTACTAATTAACCAATAGCTGGGGGGAGAATAAGTGGATTCACACCTTTCTCACAGATATTTGCACATAAGTGAATTTAACACACTCTGCTCTCCGATTTCCACTTCTGAACCATTATCCATTACACTATCCATACATCCAAACTTACAGCACCTGGTATTCCAAAGCAGTCACTCATTTAGGCACTGACCAGACTCAACATTGCTTAACTTTGGTGATTGTATGAGAACTGATGTTTCAACTGTAAGTCCATTATACCATCCACACAAGCATACAGCACCAGAATTTCCCAAGCATTCACCCATTTAGGTACTGACTAGGCTCAAAGTTGCTTAACTTTGGTGATCATACAAGAGCTGGTGTTTCAACATGATACAGCCATAGGCTCTTTATGGTACCCACAAATCCAAGCTTACACCACCTGGTATTCCCAAATGGTCTCCCTTCTCCCATTCATGAAACTTTTTAAAACCTTAATTAAAAACAAAAATCATTCAATCAGAAAATATTAAATAACCAAGATTCAGATAAGATTTTTTTTTTTTTTTAATTGTCAAAAAATTTGACATTAATCATTCCTTGGATCAGATGGATCAACATCCTCATCTTTGTTAGTTTAACAATTGTATCCTTTGGTTTTACATTTATGCCAAAGATCCTATTTTTAATTTTGTGAAGAGATACATTATCATTCCATTTTTTTTTTTTTTTGGACATATGACAACTCTTTTTTGTTGTTTTTGTCAATTAATCCACCCTGAAGGCAATTGGGGAATGGCTCAACTGAACCATTAGGTTTTAATCCAATAAACACAAATACTAAACATAGGCTAAGTTTTGTTTTTATTTATTAAATCTAGTATCATCTTCATGATTTGATTTCAAACTCTACTCTCAAAGATTCTTCTTTGAAAAGTTCAAGGCAATTTGAAATAGGTACAAAGTCATAAGAAAATAAACATTCAGGCTAAAATAAAAGCCAATAGCAAATACAAATATATACTTTCTGTTGTAGGATACCTACAGACGATAATGGGTATGTCCCCATTCACATAAGCACCGTAGTAAATACTGTATGTTGGTTTGCAGTTGGAGATTCATTGTGGAATTCACTTGACTCACTTCTAGCAGTTGACTACTTCTATGCACTACTGGCGAATCTTATGTGTTCCCCAGGTTACAACACTTTTGTATCCATATATCATAGGGAATCAATAGGAAACTATTAATCATAGGGAATCAATATGAAACTATTAATCATAGGGAATCAATATGAAACTATTAATCATAAAACAAAGCCATTAGTATGACATTTCAAATGTAAGCCAAAGTTATAAAGAAACACAACATTTTCAAAACTATCATATTTTTCAAAGTAAAAATTAAACTGTTTTGAATCTTGTACACCTATTTAGACCTTTGATTCCTTATACCATTGTCAATAAAAATTGCTTATAAAACTCAATGGGGTAATTCTTTGTTCCAAAGATAAAAAGGACCTGCTTTAGTTATAATTTGATGAGAATTAATCACAAATGCCTATATAAACAATGAAACATCAACTGCTATATAAATAGAAAATAGTGCATACATTGCCATATTTTTATTAATAAGATTTGAATCATGAATATGCAGAAAGATATCAAGAGTCTCAAATGATTTTGGATATCAGGTTGGAACAAAATAAATGGCCATTTTGAATCACTAGCTTTTAAAACTGTGACTCAGCTTATAACTTTATTAGTCAAAGCAGTTTTGTAATCGATGTAATGTTGCTAATGACCCTGCAATGAAGTCATTCTATCACATGAAAAAATGGAATAATGAGAGTTGACAAACTGTTGGAAGACATTTTATAATTGGTCCGGATGTGATGACATATACTGGCATATATACACATATAAATTAAAGCCAAGGAAAATTCCAGTGAATCAGAAAGATAACACAGGACTTTGATGCCTAACTGCATTAATTTTTGTATCAAGTTGGTTTTTTTTTATAAAATATGAGGTCCTGCAGTAGAATAATAGAGTAGGTCCCTTTTTATTCACTACTGCCAGTCAAAACGAGATAATTCTAGAAAGAGTAAGAGAATAAAAAAAAAACATTTGATCACACTAATAAAACTAAAAAAAAAAAAAAAAAAAAAATGACCAATTATTTTGTTCCAATCTAATAGACAGTAATAATTGTTGTCTATGAGAATATATAACAGATTTACTAATGTTTAGTACTTATAAAAAAATAATTTTTTTATGAATGATATTTATGACAAAAAGGTTTTGGTAAGTCATTACCATCCGTTATATTTCATTACAAACTGACAACAAACATGGATAACTTAAAGTCACAAATGAAAATAAACTCAAATAATTTTAGTAAGTTTCCTGGAAATGTATTTTATATAAGAGACGAATATCAAGAATGAAAATAAGATGAAATAGAGGAGTTAATTTTCACAACAATGTTGTTCATTCAGCTAAAAAATTATGCACAACCAAATAAAGTTTTAAACTGGTAAATACATTAAAATTCATTTTTTATTATTATTATGTTCATCCTTACAAACACAAAAATAAAAAATAAAAAGATTATATCATTTTAACACCTGCCAAATTATCTAAAATCAATTTGATAAAATAAACCAATCTAATATTAAATAGATTTCAAACTATCACTACTTTTTTGAATATGGCTGGATGTGTATTTTTAAAAGCCTCAAATGAACAAGCTGTAAAAACTTGCAAGAAAACTTGACTTGTTACACTTTTCAAAATCCAAAATAATTAAGAAAACCCCATAAGTAACATTGCAAAATAAAAAGGTGCTTTTTTTTTTTTTAAAGCCTACCTGTCATGCTTAATCCAAGTTTCCAAGCCACTGTCATTTTCAGCTTGTTCTTCTTCTTCCTCCACTGCTTCTTGCTCACTTTCACCCTAAGAGGCAAAGAAAATCCCATTAAAAAAAAAAAAATGTTGATAATGTACCAAGGTACAAAAAAGGCTAACAGGAAAATTCAATATAATTTATGACAATGAATAGAGAAAAAAATTACTATGGTGGGAATGTTGAAAATTTTTTAGAGTACTCTCCACCCCCCCCCAACCAAATAATATATAATTTATTTTATAATAAATAAAGTAACATTAAAGTCACTTATTGGATTAACTCAAGAGTTTCATGTTGAAATGCTCATCAGGGGACAGATAATTTTATAAATAAAAGAGGTTTATCAAACATCTGGCCCTGATGAGCATTTTGATGTGAACCTCGTCAGACAGTCTATCATGAAATTTTCTTCATTTACTGAATATTATATATAAATAGTTAACTACTGAGCACCATGATTTTTACATATATTTTTAGTTTTATTTACACACACATATATATATATTGAACATTGAAGTCAACACTCAGAGACGGCAGGCTGTTTTCTGCTAGATGCAATCATCAGGCCACAAATGCTGGATTTTTCCTCAATTATTTATATATATATGGGTCAGTGGTGCATTATGGGTAATCTATTCTGGAGGTTATGCTTGTGGGAGTGGCTTGTTTGTTCATTTATTTGTTTGGGTTAATTTATTTTACTTGTTTTACCTTTTCATTTTGTATTATTTATTCTTTTCAGTTTTTGATGTTTTATTAACGTAGTAAAAAAAATTTGAGGGGGGGGATTTGCTTAGGTTGCTTATTTAATAGTTTGTTTTGGTCTGAGAAGATAATTAAAGCTATTTATTTGTGCAATGTTTAGATTGCTTGCTGTAGTCTATTCTGTTATTTTGGCGGGGGGGGGCACTTTTTAATTAAAATTTATTTATTTGGATTGATTATTTTTACTTGAAAATTAAAGGTAAACAAACAAACAAACCACTCCTGCAAAAATAACTGCCAGAATAGATTACCCACAATGCACTACTGACCTATACATACATACATACATACATACATATATATATATATATATATATATATATATATATATATATAGTCAAGGAAAAATTCAATATTCGCAGACTGATTATTGCATCTAGCATGGAACAGCCTGTTGCCTCTGAGTGTTGACGTCAATGTTCACTTTTATATTCATATTTACATACGCTCTGTCTCTGATATTGAGCACTTTATCCCATAAATATGGTACACCATAAAAGTATATTTCTTCATATATATTATATTTTAATTACGCATACATACATACATACATACATATAGTATAAATATAAGCTAAAAGCTTAAAATATACCATATTTTCTTGTGTATAATATGAGAAATTTTGATTGAAAATTAAAGGTAAAAAATGGGGGCATATTATACACACATACATTTTCAGAAGCTTTTGATCAGCTTTTAAAAAAAATCTTATTTGAAGAAGCAAATTATGTATAATGCACAAATTCAAATCATCTATGTATAATGCACAAAATATTACAAATGAAGTGTTTCAAAAAGGCTCATTCAATATTTTTTTAAGAATCAATTATGTAACATGCAAATACTGCCACCAGTAAGAGATTCTTTCACTTGTGAAATTTTATTATTGTAATTTGTTATTAAAAAAAAAAAAAAAGAAAGGATTATTCTTATTTACCATTTCTTAATATGTGATTCTTATTAAATGTATATTTAACCCATTAACTGCCAAATTTTTTTAACGCACATTAGGAGTATTTATTCCTTATGTTTAATTTCAGTAGTTACCATTGTCATTTTTATAGAAACTGGAGCATTAGATATATGTGTATAAAACATCAAAAAATACTATTGATTAGAAATAAAAAAAAAATGCTTTTCAAAATAGTCATTTTTCTACTCTTGAAATGTGAAATTTTGACAGAAAGTGCCTTCTTAGAGCTAATAATAATAACTTTAAAGGCTAAGTGTTGTAAAATATACCTCTTCAAATGCAATGTATGTAAGCAATTTAATGTAAATACAAAGAATAACATGTAGTATGTTTAATTTTAACAGATTCCCAAATGGGGCTCATAGCTAAGAAATTATGCTAAGATTTATAGAAACCCCAACATTTGCACATATTTTTTTAAAAAATAAACAAAAAGAAAAACTTAAAAATTTAAATGCAATGTTAATCAAGATCTCTTTTTTTTCTCTTTTTTTTTTTTAAACAATAACTTTAACCCTTCACAAGACCCGGGAGCCACTCAAGGTAGAGGGTTACATTTGAAGGCCATTTGTGTGTATAGGAGGGGAAGATAACAGTTAACCCTAGCCTTGAACAGGTTCAAATTGTAGTGATTGAGCGAACATGCTGTTGGGAATCAGTTCAACAGGACATTGGTTTGCAGGAAGCTGCGGCTCAAATTACTTCTCATGGGATACAGAGGGAATGTGGGTTGTTTGCTACTATGTAAGTGGCATGTGAAGGCTTGCCTTGAACGGAGCAGGGAATGTAGTTCATCTGAGCACTTTTCATGGGAGTAGCAGTAGAGCAGAGAGAGGCTTGCAACATCCCGCCTGTGGGAGAGAGGTTAAAGGATGGAGAATAATTTGTCACCAACAAGGGCTCGGAGGTGCTTTCAAACTTGATCAAGGCTGGGGAATAAGGTCTGCCTCTTGTAAAGGTAGCGCATAACAGGACTTACTGGAGAGGTACAGAGAGCTGAACATTTTACCTACGTCCTCATCAATGGATCGTATATACGAGTTCCACTTCAGGTTGTGTGAATTTGAGGCCCAACAGTCTTTCAAGGCATGGTGCTTCCCCAAAAGGACCTCCATTCATCCTGGTTGGTGGCAGTTCAGGGTTAGATCAGTGATGGAATGTAGCTAGCTTGGTCTTTGAGGCATTGAATGTAACCAGCTAGTTTTCACTTCATTGGGTAATTTATGCAAGATCAGGAGAGAGATCAGCCACCAATCTCTGACCATATAGAATTTTAGATATGCGCCCATATATAGTCATATAATTGGCATAGATGTTTACAAATGATTTGAGTATATTCTTAGGCAGATCATTTATGTAGATCAAAAAGAGGGTTGGTCTGAGGATTGACCCCTGGGGGGAGACCTGTGTTGACCTCTAGGGCTCCAGAGGACTGGCCATTAATAATTACCTTCAGGGACTTGTTAGGAAGGATTTTAAGATCGAGAAGACCCTTCCAGCGATTCCATAACTGGAGAGATTGTGTAGCAAGCCATTGTGCCACACCTTGTCAAAGGTCTTTGAGATACCTAGTGCTATAGTTCTCAAGGTGTGTTTGTTGTCAAGAGCCTTACTGATTCTGTGAGCGATGGTAGTTAGGATATTGGCAGTGGATCGAGCCAACCAAAACCTATTGTTGGTGAAAATGATGTTCTTGAATTCTTGAAAAACAGGCATACACTTAACACAGGTTTGGGAAGGATTTCTCTTTCAAGTAGCAATTGAATAACTTTTCTAGGATTGGAGATAATTCAGAGTTGATATTCTTAAGGACAACCACTGAAATTTTGTCAGGACCAGTGTCTTTCTTAGGATCAAGGCCTTTGATAAGTCTTCTCGTGCTGTGATGGAAATATTAGTTAAGATTGTACTCAGTTAAGAGAGGGGAACTTGAGGAGGGGATGGTCTTTGTCATCTAATGTTGAGTCAGAGGCAAAGACGGAGGCAAAAAGGTTTGCCTTATCTGTCAAGGAAGAGATGATCTTGGGACCATTTATAATTGTGGGCACAGCTGTTTTACTTTTGTTTATGATTGATTGATTTTGGTTGATGATCTGCCAGAATTCACAGAATCCAATTTGTTTCTTTTCAACCTTGATTTGGACTGCTCTTGCATTGTGCACTTGGCATTTTCTAGAAATTTTGTTACAGAGATTGCAGGTAGTTCTGCATGCAGTGTGAGCCGAACAACATCACCCCTTGGGATAGATATCGACGTAATGGTTTCATTGATTTATGGCTGCAGCACATTAAGGGGTGAACCAAGGCTGACCGTTTGCTGGAATTTGGTGGACCGGGGGGGGGTGTTATAAAACAGCCCATTCCAGAAAGAATCCAATCAGTGACAAGGGTAGCAGTTTTTCAAGGCAGCAGGCTTGAAGGAGTTTGGGAAGGGAGCTTCCATCATGTAGGATCAAAAGCTGCCCCAGTCTGTCTTCGCATAATGAAAAATCATTCTATGGAATGGTACATCAGGGGATGCCTTAGGTTTGGCATCAATCTGGACACTGATTAGAGAATGGTCTAATGTGCCTAGTGGAGTAAAACTTTTAATAAACATTTATCAGGGCAGTAATTTAGAAAGAGGTCAAGGAGAGGTTCTCTGATGATCTGGCTTAGTTCATAGGTGATGAAGAAGTCTCTGCAATATCTGCCTTCAACATCAGTTTTGTTGGAGTGGACTAGCCATTCTTTATGATGGATATTGAAGTCCCCACAGATATGAAAGCTGGCTGAGGGAAATTGTGTGAAGATATTATCAATCTTCTCAGATATTCAAAGATTACCAACCATCTTCAGGGCAGTAGAGAGCAAAGACGAATGTGTTACTATGGGTAAGTGCCATGCAGAAACACATATATGGGAGATCGGGTTCCTCATTTTTGCATCCCTGTGACAGGGGAAACTCTTCCTTGATATAAGCTCTGAGTCCACAGCAATGATGATTTAGATGGTCATGTTTGGCTATAAAAGTTGAGTAGCCCAGGACTGTGAGCTCCCCTACTGTACTTGAAACATTGATACTGGTTTCATAAAGTAACAGGAGGTCTAGGTCTGGAAAATTGGAACATAGACCACTCACATTGGTGTAGGAGATGATATATGATGGATCTACTTGTTTTTTTGTAGGTTGAGTTTGTTAGTTTTGTTCATTTGTATTTTGATTGATTTCATGTGTGCAGTGATCAGGGGGAAGACTAGAAGGCAGAGAGACAGATACATATACAGGAGTTACATGTATAGATAACTTGGGAAGAATAGTCCAGAGATAGAGCCAGAGCAGTACCCTTCATCAAGGCATCAAGAGGCTCCACCAGAGACTACTGCTCAGTCTAGAGACCATTCACAAAATGGCAGTACAAGAGCTCTGATATTATACACTGGCCTCCTTTGAGGGTACTCAAAGTTTTCCATCCCAACTATCAGGCGGATAACACCAAAACCCAGAAAATGTTTACCTCCAGCACCATTAATGAAGGGACGATCAACCAAGTAAAGAAAATACATGCGTAATGCTCTAAGTGGATATGTCTCATCTGCCAAGAAGTCAAGGCATCAAAACTTCCTTGGAGCAGAAACATGCTGGTGTGAGACTTAAAGGCACCAAGACAAACTCATTTATGTACTTGAGGACTAAGAGATCCATTGGGACAGGAGAGGGCGTAGCAAGGGATTGCTCGGGAATATACATGTATCCCATTACTCCTGATTACTCTTTTCTCTTCCTGCTCATTAGTAATGTTTCTGTTCCTAATTCTTCTGCACACAGTAATTCCTTGTGTCTTTGTGGCTTTACTGCCTTGCTTGGGGTGAAATGATTACAAAAAAAAAAAAGAATAGAATAATATTTGAAATCCACAGTATAGTAAAACCTCAATTTAATATTCATTGATTCAAAGTTTTGATTGATTTTTTTTTTTAAGGTTTATCAACCCTTTACAGTTCATTTAAAATCAGGAAATATTATGAGATTGGAAGAATCTTTTGGAGATAAGGATTCACTGATATAACTTCTACTAATTAACCCATAGCTGGGGAGAGAATAGGTGGATTCATGCTTTTCCTAAGGTTATTTATGCATAAGTGAATATAATGAACCTGACTGGAATTCAAACTTCGCACTCCAATTTCCAATTCCAAGCTATTATCCATTACACCACCCACACATCCAAACTTACAGCACCTAGTAACCTCAAGCAGTTACTCATCTAAGTACTGAGCAAGCTCAACATTGCTTAACTTTGAGATTAAATACTTGAATAAATCATTCATTGCATCCATGTTAAATTATGGTGATTCTCTAAGCATAGCTTAGTTGTGGCACAAGGCCAAAACCATAAAGCAAACAGTGAGGAACAAACTCACTACCCAGTCATAATTGTTCTAGCAAGACAAGCTTGTTAAATATTATACCACATCAAAGTGCCCAAATTTGATTTTCTAAGTATAGGTTAGATGTGGCACAAGGCTGAAAGCATGGGGCACCCAGTGAGGATTGAACTCACTACTCAGTTGCAACTGTTCCAGCAAGACAAGCTTGTTAACCATTACACCACGTCAGGATGCCTTTCCATATTAAATTATGTTATGAGTATATGTCAACCTTGTTAGCTATAAAGTTAACTGGAATTTTTTTTTTCTTTTCTTTAAATAGTTTTTGGTATCCCTGGGCTGTCTACAATTTGTTAGGTTGTATATCATTCACTTGACCCATCACACATATTTTACACTTTTGGAAAAACTGAAAGATGAATTTGATACAGTTAGTTGCATGTTTGCTACTCTATGTATTTAAGAAATTAAAAATTGAGAAACTAAAAAAGCATGTTCAAAAACCTTGATTTCATCAAATTTTATTCGGAAGTCAGTGGAGATAGTAACCAACACAGGGTATCCAAAAACAACCCTGTTAGTATAGTATGCATCAAAATTGAGCAGATTAAATAATCTGATCAATTTTGAAGCAGCTTTGGGAATTTTCTAAGCCTTGATTATGAGTCAGTTATGTGCCATGTAGGATACACACTTAGGCGATCATGTATTTTTCAATACACGACTGACGAGGCAGATTTTTTTCCTACAGTAGGTTCCCATTTCTTTCTGCAGTAGACCAGTTGCCATTCAAGAACCCAGTTTGTCCTGCTATTTACCCATAGCTAGCGGGGAGAAGAGGAGGATTTGTACCTTTCCCAAGGGTATTAGCACCTAAGTGAATGTAATGGATTCATCTATGATTAGGAGTACAAAGTAAATTCCAGTGTAGATTTCATCAAGAGCATGACTTCCAAAAATCCTCTCATTATGAGCAAGGAATAGTAAAGTATGACCATTTTATTTGATATTTTATGCTGTTTTACGTAACATTTATCATTTGTGTGCTGTTTTGGATTTAACAAAACACTTCATAAAATATGTTGATCTACAGAACTTGCTTCTTTACAAAATAAGCAATCTATCAAATTTAATGAATAAACTCTTCACCCAATTAGTTCTTTAAATTGAGGTTTAACTGTAATATCAGCTAAATTTATGGGTGGGGAGGAAATAAAAAAAAAAAAATTTCTTACCCCATTCTTTCCACGTTTAGGCAGTTGCTTTGTAGCAAGACTACTGGTATTTACTGAAGATGTCTTTGTCTTGTTGGTTGAAACATCCAAAGTTTCAGTTTCAGACACAGCATGCAGATCTTGAGGCTTGGTGCCACTCTTACCCAGTGCCACTTGGGAATTGACTAACTCAGCCTCTACAGAAGGAAAAACAACAAATAGTCATAATGAAAATACACTTGTTTGCCTACAAGTACAGACCTTGACCAATGTAGCATGATAGCACAAGTAAAGAGTAGGTGGGAACAGATGAGTACAGAAAAAGCAGGGTAGCCACCAATCCTTTTGAGCTGTCAATATGGCACCAACTACAAAAGCCAACAATTACAAAGAATCGCACAATCAAAAGGCAGGAAAACAATGCAAGCAAACAGCTTAAAAGATATATATATATATATATATATATATACACACATACATACACAGTTATTTAATTCTGTGGATAGAATTCAAAAGGAAATAATTTCACATACAAGACAAATATTTATCTTCAGAATAAACAACTATCACAGACAATAGCAGTAGACAAACATATGGTGGACAGATATCACATGGCACATAAACCCCAATGAAAATATTCCAACATTATATGCAGGTGTGAAAAGAACTTTAAATTAAAACTGTTAATATAATTAAACTAAAATTATTTAATTTTTTGAATAACATTCAACATATATTTTATTATTATTATTATTATATACTATTGTTCACTTAATACAAGGCCCAAGAGCCTCTCAAGGTAGAAAGTTATTGTATCAGGTGATTGTGAGAATGTAAAGGGAGGAAATAAGATGTGCATGTTATGAGGATATGTTGGATAGATAATGGTTGACTCTAGACTTGAAGAGGTTAAGATTATAGTAATTAGGGAAGTATTCCCTGTTCCACAGAATAACCATTCTAGGAAAGATACTAAGTGAACATCCTCCTTACTAACAGAATATGAAAGTAATGGAGATGGGTTGACCCCGTATACGTAGCATGGCAATTGCTAGCTGGGAAGGCCTGAACCAGTGCAACTCTCATATGAATATTTACCATGGAAATAATGAGAGTAGCAAGAGGCTAATAAGAACAATGACTTTGGGTAGAAAATATTTTTATGTATTCTTTCTTGAATATTCTAAGCAAATAAATGTGTGTATGTTGTATAAATCAAATTTCAACCTGTGTCATCAGTACCACTTACGGTGGCCTTGGTTTTTGCTTAAATTTACATATTTCCTATTAGAGACAAAGAAAAGTGTCCAAGCCCCAATAAAAGCTAGGATTTCAAATGCTGATTCTCAAAGTAGACAAACCATTTCCATTTGGTGCTAACAAAAATCCTCATCCTATTTTACTTGGACATCTTAACAATCCCTACACACCAAGCCAAAAAGACAAGGTGGAAATTAAAGATAATGACATTAAATTTATGTTTAAATGTAAGAACTTTATTCCAACTCTCAGGTTAAAACTGAAATCATTAAATTCATAAATTTTAGAATGTAAAGTTCTTAAGTATTATGTAATTTTATCGCAAATTTCTAATATATTAATTTATCCGAGTAAAAACAGACTTTCTATGAACTATGTTTTAACATTTTAGTTTTTTTTTTTTGGCCATTTAAATATATAGGAAAAATATTTCATGTTTTGGTCACATTGCAGTCAAAATCTTAATTCTAACTTTTCCTTAATAATTCAATGAGGCAATATTTTCTGCTAAAAATAGGTTGATATCTCAATTCAAATGAATTATCATTCTAAAAGGAACTTTTATATAAAAATAAAAAGTCAAGCTGCATTATTTTTTTTAATTCTAATTGCATCTTCATAAACTAATTCATCATACAAAACGGTGGAGTAATGGATAGCAGCAAGGATTGAGGAACCTGAGAGCCAAGTTCAAATTCCAGTCAAATCCATTACATTCCTTTACGTGCTAATATCCTTGGGAAAGGTATGAATTCTCTTCCTTCTCCACCCCAAGCTATGGGCCAATAGCAGGATAGACCAGGTTCTATAGCCTTGGATGGCAACTGGTCTACCACAGAAAGAAATGGCAACCTACCGCAGGAAAAAATCTACCTCGTCAGTCATGTATTGAAAGATACACGATTGCCTACACATGTATCATGCATGGTACATAACTGACTGACTGACCTTACAAAACTAGTCACATTTTTAAAAATCCAAAACGTTTCATCATATTTTACTTTTATACATTAAAATTGTTTTTTTAAAAATATCATCGCAACACCGGAATTCCCATGTTTCAAAAGTAAAACTTCAATTCAAATTCAATCATAAAAATTAAACTTAAAATACAAAGTTCCGTTTCATTAGCAAGCAATGCCAAGAATAACTTTTAGAAATTGATTTTCTTAATTTATAAGTCCAGACAAATTTGATAATTTGAGATGTTGGGGTTAAGGAAAATTCCATCTTTTTTTTTTTTTTAAGGGTGTTAAGATTTAACTTTTTTAGAAAACTCATATATTGTAGCTATCAAGTTGGTCAAGTCAAAGTGGGGCTGGGGTATGTGTCTATTGATACAAACTTTCTTTTTTTCAAGTAGAAATGTGGTAGTGTCTATGTTCCAACACATCATCTGGATTTCAATAGCAATACATTTGGCATTTTTACTTTTTTTTTTTTTTTTTTTTTTTTTTAATTTTTATAAATTTTAAATACGATTTTTTCAAAAGGGGCAGTCAAATATTATTTAGTCATTTTTAATATTTATATTTGTACCGACTTAAGATATATTTATTTACTAATTGAGTACATATATGTTAATGTTAAAATTAATATTAGAATCTAATTATGTATTCATAAATTATTTTATTTATAATCAAATATAAACATGTTAGTTTCATTTTTTTAAAAATTAGCTAGTACTTAAGGAAAAAAATTGGCAATGTCTACAAAAACTTGCTATTTCATTTCTTTGAGTTAATAAATTTTTTATTTTTCAGAAACTTTATCATATTTAACTTTTCATGTATGCACAAAGGACATGGATCATTTAAAGATCTACAAGTTTTTTTTAGTAATTTCCATTTTACTGTTGGTGTTTTATTGAACTCTCAATTATAAATCTCATTGTTCGTTCCTATTATTTTAAAATTATATATATATACACACACACACACACACACTTGTGCAAATTAACTGAAACAAAACGGATTTCAGTTATTTTTTTTTGTATTTTTCAAATGAAAAATTATCCAGCACACATGTTAATACTTTGTATGTCCATTCCACAAAGTCGTTCCTTGCAGATCGACCACAGATTCTCAATTTAAATGAAGAGAGTTTCCAGGCCAGTCTATAGTACATTGACTTGCTCACTGGTAAGGCTTGCCAGTGTGTTCATGCAGCATTACAGTTTTTGTATGCTTCCTTGGAGTAACATCTATTACAGACAATGGCCATATGACAACTAATCGATAGTTCAGACAATAGTGTATGGACGTGATAAAAATCTGATGCAATCACGGATAAAAAGATTTTTCAAGTCCAAACAAATTTCATCATACACCCTGAAAACAGATTCATATTACTGCACACCACTGCGAATGACCTAATCTGAGGAATAAAATAAAAATCGATTACACCCTGTCACTCCAGTTGGTCTAAAACTGACTGTATGGTGAAAGAAAGGAAACTAAAGCAGTTGTTTCAATTAATTTGCACATATATATTTTGTAAACTTAAATTTTATTTTAATTTAGTCTTAAAAAATAAAACATACAAGCTAATAAAAATTAAAATCCACTTTATCATTTCCCTGTTAAGTTTTGAAACCTCAGTTGAAAGAAACAAAGATTTTTATTAAATAAAATAAATGACAAAAAAATTAAATAAAAGTACTTGGATTAACGAAATTATAAAATAAAGCATTCATTAAAAAAAATATTGCAAAAATAAAATTAGAAGCACGTTTTTATTTTTCCTTTTTGTAGCTGTAGCTATTTGCTTTAAAAAAGGTCATAAAAATGTCTTTCAAGCACACAACAGAAAAACATTTAACGACACCAAGCTGATACACCAAAGGCAAATTGATTTTTGTTGAATTTTCAAAGAACAAAACAAGCAAGCAAAAAGGCCCCTACAGAGCTAAGTTTCATGATAATGAATTTACAGAAGAAAAACAATTTCTTTAAATCATTCAGATGCTTAAAGATTTATGCTTACATAAACTGTTGTCTTTCATTAGCTACATTTTCCTATTTTTTTGGACTCATGAAGAGATTCACATAAATATTTGCAATCTTAATGTGCAGGATGTGTCACATAATATGAATAAATTATAATCGACAATATACCGCTGTTTAATTATTTATATCCTAATGTGACTTTACTTTTTACAGGTATTGTGAATAATGGCAAAAAATTTGAGTCGATATTCTATTATTCATTGTGATCAACCTTACATTTACAACCAGACATCTTGTTTTTATTTTCAAATTTTCCTTACTGACAAAGAGCCTATTTCATAGCTTTACAATGATACTGTTTTTATAATTTCACTTGTAAGATGGGACACACATCTGTAAGATAAAGTTTTCAACTCTTATCAGATCAACATCGGAGTTATCCAAGATCTTCAATATACATTTTATCATATTCATAAACAAAGCAGATAATAATGTAAGAGCATTTAAGGGAAGAGAGAACAAAATGTAAAAAAACTTATTTATCCATTTTGAAATTTCCATGTAAAGAAATTGCTTCTGGTTTTAAACACACATTTGAGATCAGGAAATTGAAGTGTATGTTGCACCTAAACCAGAGACATCTAAAATGCAATTTTAAAGACCAACAAAATTGAGGCATGAAATAGAACAATTAAAATAATTTTACATACAATGGCCAAAATTAAGCATTAAATTATAAACTCAAGATCTGTTACATGTTCCACAATGAATTTGATTTTTTAGCAAAAAATAATTCACAAGCTTTCCTTAGAAAAAAAAATGAGAAATTACATTACAAAGCATTAAAAAAGTTAATATTTCCCAAATGAATTGGTTTTAGTAAAATATTTTAATTAAAATGATTCACTGTAGAAAAGGGGGGCATCAGGTTGGAAGAAATGAAATGATGTACATGTGCTCAACAGAGCAACATTAAAATGTGACAAGAT